ACCCCTGCCACGGGCAGGGACATCTTCCACTAGAGCAGGTTGCTCCAAGCCCCTGTGTCCAACCTGGCCTTGAACACTGCCAGGGATGGGGCAGCCACAGCTTCTCTGGGCACCCTGTGCCAGCGCCTCAGCACCCTCTCAGGGAAGAGCTTCTGCCTTAGATCCAATCTGAACTTCCCCTGTTTCAGTTTGAACCCATCACCCCTTGTCCTGTCGCTCCAGTCCGTGATGAAGGCCCCTCTGCAGCATCCTTGTAGCCCCCTTCAGACACTGGGAGCTGCTCTGAGGTCTCCACGCAGCTTCTCTTCTCCAGGCTGAACAGCCCCAATGTTCTCAGCCTGTCTTCATACGGGAGCTGCTCCAGCCCCTGAGCATCCTCGTGGCCTCCTCTGGACTTGCTCCAGCAGCTCCATGTCCTTCCTCTGGGATGCTGTGGGGATGCTGCCCCTGCTGAGATGGAGAGACTGGAGCAAGCTGCTGTTAAGCCCGGCCTGCTTTGCTTAGTTCTCTGGCTCTGTCAGCCCAGGTTTGCTGTCAGTGGTGCTGGGCTTGTGTTTAGCACCAGTTTTGCCTTTGTTGCCAAAGCTGCACGAAGGGCTGGAAGAGCTGGAGTGTAATCAAAGCGTGCTCAGACAAAGGTGTTCGGTGAGGAGCTGCAGTGTTGCTGAATCCACAAGGGGCACAATTAACTGATAAGAGTAAACTAATTGTTATTCAGATTAAATTAGGGCACAGGTGATTTGGAAAATCTATAGACACTCCCATATGCTTTGCCATTTTGCATTGCAGATTATGGTTTTATAAGGCCCTTCTGGGATTCAGATTATAGAGGCAGAGCGTGGAGCTGTGGCTAAACTGAACATACTCCTTCCTGATTAACTACCTGATAAAACCAGAAATGTGCACATCAGAGGATTTATCACTCTGCTTGCATCCCTATTTTTCCTTCCCAGGCATGAACACAACAGTTCCTTATAGATCCAAGTGATTCTGCTTGGGAAACCCAGGCAAGGAGACGTGATTCCCACATCATGGTTTAGAGATGGAGCTTAATAGCGGGGAACGGGCATCTGGCAGGGACACGACTGCCACAGCTGAGATTTGCTGCTGCTTCTTTTGTGCTGTGTTATCATGACCTGGGAATATTCATAGGCAAGAGGCAGCAGGACGATGTACTGACCTGAAGGATGAGGTGAGTCTGCCACCAGGTGAAGTTTGCTTTGGTTTTGGGGCATTCTGCACCAGCATCTGAAATGAGCATGTACAAAGAGGACAGGAAAAAAGAGTCTCGGTTGCTTGTGTTCTTCAAGCTGCTCTTGAGGAAGGGTAAGCTCCAAAGCTGCCTGCTGAAGCAGTGGTAGGAAACGTGGGGACACCAGGGTTGGAACTGGGGCAGAGCACGTGTCAATAGTGCAGCTGAAGGATTAAGGCAGAGAGAAGTGCAGGTCTTTGGCTTAGATATGCTGGTGAGTCTCCTGAGCCCTAAAACCCAAAAGGGCCTGTGCTGCTGTCATGTGTAAGTCCCCTTGTGGGGTTGTCTCAGCACACCCAGCAATAACTGCAGCATGGTTTTGCTTCCTCTCCTCTCTTCTGGCCTCAAGTGATGGCACCTGGAGCCAAGGGAAGAGTTTCTGACCTGTGTGATGAAGGGTTTGGAAGCGGAGCTTGGTTACAAGCCACGCAGGGAGAGCTGGATCGCTGCTGCTGTTTGTTTGCTAAGAGGGTGCTTCCCAATGAATTGCAATCCCACAGGGAACACTCGGGATGCGTTGTGCTGGTCCCTGATCACTCTCTGCCTTGGATTCTGGCCAGGGTATCGATCGCAGCAGGGCTGTAGCTGGGCAAGGAGGCGAGGGGTTATTGAATCACTCCTGCCAGCTAGAGCATCCCCTGTTAGGTGTTCCCTTGGGAGAGGCTTACCTGCGATGGGTCTTCAGCCTGTGAGGAGTTCCTGCCAAGATGTTAAGTATCACTGCTGCCAGGGAAGAGGATGTCCCTGCCCTGGCCTCAAGGTAAAGAAGGGCTGTACTCAGGGAGTGGTTTTCCTCCAAAAGCCCCTTTGGACATCCGTCGGATCAAGTGGATCAGTGCCCATCTTCCGAAGCCTGTTGTTGGTGTCTGGTTCCTTCCATCTCGCTGAGGGCATTGCCCAGCTGGCTGCACAAGTGGAGCTGAGTGGTGAGGAAGCATCTCTGATGGCTTGTGTAGGTGAAGCCCATGAGATAGACTCTTTGGGTGGATCATGAGGAGAATGTGGATGGGATCTTTGTGATAGGTAGGAGCAAGGATCCATGCCAGAGGGTGGGATGGGCCGTGGTGCTTAAAGGGAGCACCAGGACTGAGGGGTTTTGTTGCGTGGAGAGTTAACATGAGTGTGTAGTTCGAGTTGTGGTTACACTGCCTCAGCGTGAGCTGGAGACACTCGTGTTCCTGCCCGGCTACAGCGTGATTCCAGGCACGGATCCTCCTGGCAGTGCCAGATGGTGGGAAGAGGGGGAAAGGAGCTGCGGCTCTGCCTCCTCCTGGTACCACAGCCTGCCCCGGCGCTGCTGCTGCGGGCTTGGGAGTCTGGGATGGGGAGATGGAGCGTGCTCAAGGAGCAACTAGGTCAGGTTTGCCCATGGCCCCAACTGGGTGGCAATAACCCTGGCACAGAGGTGGCCAGGGGCACAGCAGTCGTGGTTCCAACAGGGCATTGAAGGTATTGAATATCCGCTGTGCTCTCCAGAAGAGGATCCAGAGCTTGTGTGTGCCTGTGCCTGGGGCTTTGTTTTCCTTTTGGTGTGTTTGTGTGTTTTACTCGGGGTGCTTTGTGCTATAATAAGAAGGGGGAGGGAGTAGGGAAATAGTGCTCTGTTTATATACACTGCTGTCAACAGCGAGGCTGCTGCTTCAGAGTCGCATCCTCTGGGAAGCACGCTGGATTCCAGGCAAACAACACCCTTCCCTTCCCCCCTTGATCCCGAGATCCTTCGGGAGCGTTGCCTGAGCCTCTCCTCCATCCCTGTCTCCCAGACTCTGGCTCAGGGGCATGGGGCACACTCCATAGCCAGCACTGCAAAGAAGCCGGTAGGCGAAGGTTGGGAGGGAAATGTCAGCGCAGCGGCTCTGCTGCATTGTTCTGCTGCTCTGGGTGAGTCAGGCTGTGATGTGCAGCCGGGGAGGACACAGCAATGCCTCTCTCTGCCTGTCTGTGTCCCTCCAGAGCCTCTTTCATACTTTCCCCAATGCCTTTCACCTTTGTGAGCCTCCAGAGACACTGATGAGGGGCTCAGCCGTCGTGTTTCCACCGCTCGGGAGGAGCACATCCCCTTTCCCTCCTCCCTGAGTCCGGATGTGCTCAGGGTCTGTGGTAAGAGCATCTTTATGTCTCTTCTCCCTTGTTCTCTCACCCAGCCCTGAAACAGTCACTGAATACGCCCTTTCTTATCTCCTGCCAGAGGTCTCAAGGGACAATTCCTTCCTATCCATCTCCTCAACGCAGGTAGCCTGGGACATGCTGGAGAAGAGCTTGGTCTGATCGAACCCCCCCCTTCTGATGTAAGTGGGCATTATGCATTTTTAATAGGCACAGGGGTCAGTGAAACCCTTGGCCCTGACTGAATTGGCACGACATTCCCAGCCTTTGGAGCTGAGCTCTCCCTGGGTGCCTTGCAGGAAATGAGACCAAGGACAAAAAGGCCACATTCTCTTTGATTGCAAGAACTGCCTTGTTCTGCAGCAGGACCTGGCCTGGCGGTGCAGTTTTGGGGGGAAAGCATAAGCAAATCTGTCTATACCTATAGGTTACCATGGCACTGTGACCTTACCAGACCTGGAAGAGAGGGAGTAACAAGGGAGTAGCTGTGGATCTGGGCATGTCCTTTGTGGAACACGTAGCCAGGTGGTGGGATATGGAGGGGTTGATGTGGTTGGAAGGCAGCAAGAGCAGGACAGGTAAGAGGTAACTCGCCCCCAACCTCAGGACTGACTTTTGGCTCATGTTAAAGTGTCCAGATGTGAGTGTGGCCTCAGAGACACCCGTACAGTGGTGCTGAGGCAGCTGGAGAGATGTGCTGAGCATGAGGGAGCCCTGCCTGGCTGAACCACTAAAGGGCAGTACCAGGAGGTGAGACCTTTCCCGCATCCTCCTCTGATGGAGGGGATACAGAGGGTCCTGCTGCATTCTTAGAGGTCACAAGAGTCCTGTCTGCAGTTGCCCCCAGTTTAGGGACAGCCCTGGGCACATCCAGAGCCTCCTTCCCATGCGGGAATGGTGTTCCTGCTGCGCTG